GGCACTTGTAAACGTTTTTACAACTCCATCCCACTGCTTTCTAGCCTGGCTGAAGGGCCTGGCATCTTCCCTCCCGAGGTCTGGCTGCCAGGGTTTGGCAAGGCTTCATTTGCTACTCAACAAGCAAAATCACCCCAGGCAAATGCCTTTTGAGCTGGCTGGCAGGGCTGGGGGAAGGAGCCCTCTTCTTGCTATCCCTCCGTTTGAAACGCGCATGACGAATGATCTCTAGTTTTGTCCTTCCTGGCTGGCCATAGCACAGAGCTCACCCAGCCGCCTGCGCCCGTTGCCATGGTCACACTTCCTGTTTGAGACGCGGGGAGCTGCGCTCCGGTAGGGCTCTGAGCCGGGGCCGCCAAGGGCGCGAGCGGCGGGGTCAGGGCTGCCGCGGGGAGTCTCCGGACAGGCCGGGGCTCGGCTCGGGTCTCACAGCAGCCGTCGGAGGCAAAGCGCTCCGTCCGCGCTGCGAGAGCTGCTCAGCGACACCTTCCTGGCTGCGGGAGGCGGGAGAAATACAACTCCCGGCATGCCGCGCGCCGTGCCAGCAAGCTCTGCCCCGAGAGGGACCTTGGGCCTCCTGCCGCAAGCGTGGGAAGGGGAGAGCCAATAGCAGCAAGGCCGGTGATGCTTCAGGTCTCCGCAGTCGTTGCTCCTCCGCGCAGGCGCAGATCGCGCTATGCTTTCGGCGCTAGGAGCTTTTTAGCGACGTCATTTTATGCAATGCCTCGTGGCGTTCCCCGGGCTTGTCTGTGCAGCTCGGCGCGACGGACAGTTGGGGCTGGTTTACCGTATTTGCCCGACAGTTGGGGCCGGTTTTACCATATTGACTGGAGGGCAAGACGTGTTGGAATTTAAGACGATCTCCCCTGCCATGAGACTGTGCACATGGAAAACTGGGTCTGCTATAATTTTCCATGGGTAGAGCAGAGGGGCCTCCTAAATCCTGGGGAAAGCTGTGGCAGGGGTTGAGCAGTGGCTGGGCTGGGGTCAGGTGGCCTCGCTCTTGCCCCTCTCCCTTGTCCACCCTTGTGCCTCTTGCCCCCCTGCCATCACCTGTATCTGCCCCCCTTGGCCCCAGGGTCTGTCCTTTGCTCTCTGACCCCCTGCTGCCTTTCCCTGCCAGCCACTTGCTCGCAGTGCGGCTGCTTACCCTATGTGGTGGCCATTGGTCCTGCGTAACACCGGACTGTCCTCTTCTAAAACCCTTTATTGGGTCCCTGTCCGTTTCAGAATGAGTCCTGATTTTCAGTTAATTGTTGGAAATACCTGTCAATCACATGTCCTTGGAATTCTATTGGTTGTGCCTAGCGGGAGGGCAGTGCCCAGCCAAGAGGAGCAGGGCTCCCAACCAGGGCGGGACTCAGTTCCAGGAGTCAGTTCTTTATAATAATAGTTTTTACATTTTCATATTGCCATTTTATTATGGGCAGAGATGGAGGAGGATGAGGAAGAGGATGCAAGAATTGCAAAAGAAATAGAAATTGAGTTGAGCAGAATTAGTGTTTCCTCCCATGAAGCAGATGATTCTGACGCTGATTTATCATCAGAAGCCTCTAGTGTTGGTGAGAAAGTAAGTATAGAATGGAAATAGGGTGGCTAAAAGTACCATAACTTATGCCTGGCAAACTTGTGTTTTGCTGAGCCCTTTTCATGGAATGCTTGGGAGCA